CCCCCAGCCCCCCCCTCCTCCTCCTTCTGTCCTTCCCGTTACCTTGGGCGTATCGGTTAAGATAGCAGATTTGGGAAAGGATCCTTCCTCCTCCGCACTCCTTTCCTCCTTCTCGTGCCTGCCAATGTCTTGACGCCTCCCTTCGACCCTCCCTCCAACCCCCCCCGCCCCCCCCCGGGCCCCCTTGCCGGCTCCCCTTCCTTCTCCTCGCTCCCTCCTGCCTTCTTCCCCTCCTTTACTCCTCAATCCTCTGCCTCTCCCTAACTTCATTCTTCTCCTGCTCCTCACCTTGTTTGTCGCATCCTCCGCCGCTTTCTGGGCAGCTTGTGATGCTGTCAACTTCTCTTCCAGCTGGCCTACAGCTGGAGTCAACTTCACCTCTCCCAGCAAGTTCTCAGCTACCAGCACGAGCGTAGGCGTCCTTGAGCTTCTCCTCCTCCTCGGAGATCTGCTTCCTCTTCAGCCCCTCCTCCTCCCGCATCTACTCCCGCTCCTCCTCTTCCCCTTCCTGCTCCTGCTCCTCTTCCTCCTGCTACTCCTCACCCGCGTCTTCTCTGAGTTGGCCAGCTCTTCCTCTTCAGCCTCCTTCTTGGCAGCTTCTGCTGCCTCCTTGCTTGCAGCGTCCTTCGCTTCCAGCGCTGCCAACAAACTCAATGACACCCCTGTTGAAATGCTCCTCCTCTTCCACTGCCTCTCCTCCCCCCTCAATTTCGTTCTCCTCCTCTCACCGGTTTTTGTCTTCTCCTCCGCTGCTTGGATCTTGGCAAGAGCTTCTTCTCGCTCCTGATCAAAACCGTCAGCTCTTCGCTTCCTTCCTCGACCTCTTCTGCCTTCCTCCTCTTGTTTCTCTGCTCCCCATCCCCACCCAACCTCTTCCGAAGTCCCCTCATATTCTTTTCCTCTCCTCCTTCTTTCACCTTCTGCGCTTCTTTTGCTGAGAGGATCGCGTCGTTCTCAGCTGCTTCCGCCTAGAACGAGGACGAGGAGTCAGAGAGGTCTACAAGAAGCGATCGGAAAAGGATCGGAGAAGGACCTTGATTCTTTCTTGCTCTGAGAACTTCCAAGCAGATTGAGTTCGCACTCCTTCCATTCTACGGGAGATGAAACAGTGAAGGTTAGAGACAGACAAGAAGGAAAAGAAGAGAAGAGAGGTGCTGGAGGAGAGAAGGTGGAGCTGAGGGAAGAGGAGGGAGGAGAAAGAGGAGAGAAGAAAAAGAGAAGGAGGAGGAGGAGAGCGGGGGTGGAGGTGGAGGTGCAAGGTAGTGAGTTTGTTGTCACCTCGCGGCTTCAGTCTCGTTGTGAGCCTTCTCGAGCTGAAATTCGTCAGCTAGAGTCCAGCTGAGTCTCAGCAAGTACCTCAGCTCTGAGACGCATCATCTCTCGCGAGTCCTCGACGCCTAAGACGACAAGTGAGCATAAGAGGAGAAGTGGAGGAGCAAGAGCAGAAGAGAAGAGAGGAAGAGTAGAAAATGGGAAGAGGAGGAGGAGGTACCACAGGAGGAGGAGGAGGAAGGGGAGGAGCTGGGTGGAGAAGGAGCTGGGTGGAGGAGAAGAACAAGGAGGAGGAGGAGGAGGAGGAGGAGGAGGAGGAGAACAAGAAGCTCTACCAGAAGCCTCAAGTTGATGCATGCGCTGGATGGTCAGCAGCTCCTTCTCTTCCGCCTGTCAACTTCTAGTTGGTGCCACAGCTGGGGAGTGACGTGGGCACTCTCACCGCTTTCTCGTCTTCCTCAGCCTGCTGCGCCATCCTCTTCGCCTCCTCCTCCTCCTCCCTCGCCCTTGTCGCTGCCAACTGTTGACTCGTTAGACTTGCTCCCCCCCCCCCCACCCTCCTCCCTCTCTCCTCCTCCTCTTGCCTTCGATGCATTGACTTCAGCTTCCCGGTGTCCGATGATTAACTGAAGATTGTCAATCAGCTGCTGGGGTCCAGCTGGGAACTGGCTGGTTACCTCCAGCTGATCCGCAAGCTCTTGGAGTTTTGCGTCCTCATCCGCAAGCTGAAATGTTGACCAGTCATGAAACGAACAGCTCCTCCTTCCAACTCTCCTCCTCTAGAATCTTCTCAACCCCCCCCCCACCACCTCTCACCCACTCTCCTTGCTCTTTCACTGCCCCTCCTCACTCCTCTCCATCCTCCCATCCTCATCTCTT